GATAACCATCAAGAAAAAAATAAGGAAGTTTGAAACGGCTACACAACATACAAAAAAAAAAAAAAACGAAACGTGAACATACTCGAACACTTGGAAATATTTAAACCCGATACATTTATTACTAAAAGACTCCTAAGCAGACAAATTAGCAATGGTTTACATACACAATATTAAAAGGCAAAAGAATTGACGATCCCAAAGGGTCATTGCATAATAAAAAAAAAAAAAACTTAATCCACCAGAGGCACCTAAACACACTAAAGATGGGTAATTGCCAAAACACGCCTGACAGACCAACCCAGTATAGGAAGGCCAAATAACAATCAAATTACAGATTCATCACCCCGCAGACCACCATGAGAAAATTGTGTTTCAAGTTTAGTTGAAAACAACACAGTAAAAAAGCTATTAATTATTAAGTAACTAAGCAAAATCCTGCGTGGGGGAACAAACAAAGCTCGATTTTTACAAAAAACAAAACAAACTTGAATTGCGTATGTTGGCGTAACTGCAGAACTAGAATAAAGCTTTTTTTAATGGATTATTGATTGTGAAAGGTATTGTCACATCTGAGGCAAGCGAATCTATTATTTTGTCATGCGACCACCGCTTAATACGGAATATCCTGTGTTTATTTCATAAAACAATATCCCAACCCAAAAGGTGGGTGAATTTATACGAATTTGTACAGAATGAATTCCAATTTAAAACTGAATTAACACGTTCACCAAGGAATTGCGGTTCTGTGAACTCGGAGAAAAATAACGTTATAAAATTAAAATGCGGGGTGAAAAAGTAAATATATTAATAAAAAACTTATATTCTATACAGGTCTATATGATGAAATACAGAGTAAACAAAAACAATGTGAAAGCGTTTTATTACACCTGTTCACAATTCTCTGGATTACAGGCTTATAACGCAATCAATTTCTTAGTCGCGAAAGAGTTTTTTTCCATTATCGACATCCGAGGTAAACTTGAAATTCTTGCGTGGACTTGTTCACAGAAGTCTGTGACCGGTGGTTATTGACCTGGGAAAATTTATATTTTCACATAAAGGCTCAGCACCCACACAGCAAGCAGAGTTTCAGTCGTATTTGTAGAATAAAGATGACATCACACTTTCACGTCACGTTTTCGACGAGTGATGACCTCACGTTGGGAAGTTTAGTAAAATATTAACTACAAACCTCAATTATTTGTGGTAAACATATTAAATTAATTTATTTTCTTTTTCTCATCCATAGTTAAATTATTTTGTTAATTTTTCTCACTTTAAAATTATTTTTTTCATACTGTGTTCTAAACAGGGATTACCGTTTAGCGGTGAATATTCCATTGTTGGTTAAGGATTTTCATTGTAATGTTTACTTTTGATAAATATTTATTCAGTCCCATTTGTGTTCTAACCAAATCAATTTTGTGCTTTCAAATTTAAATTCAAATTTATGTTTTTGAATATCAAATTGATTCTTAGTGCTGAGGATTAGAAACTCAGCGAGACACAGTTAGTCGTTTGGAACTGGGTTTTACCATAGAACGCAAGGTTCTTGGCTCCCTAGAGTAACATACCGCAGGGCGACCTTTTTGAAAATGCGTAATCATAATAATAACCGTATTATTTATTAATAAAGCTATTAAGAAAATAAAACAAAATATCTCAACGAAAAGATGTTTTGCTTGGGTACTAATCCTTCAGCAGAGTTGCAATACAATTTATTATTATTTTTATTATTATAATAAAAGTGTGTGGTGATTAGTGACCGTTAATCGATAATTATGGGCACTCTCAACACGACACGCAAGAATGGCACAATTACACAGAAGTCAAACACTTTGAGCCCTGAAGACGATCTCAATAAAGATCGAAACGTCGGCACGATAAAGAAAATGTTTTTCTGAAACCTATCACACCAGACAGCATCTCTCGATTTCTGAATAATTATAATAAAAGCTCAAAAGAAAGAAAAGGCAGATAAAAAAATGAATTATAGCTAATAATTACATTTTCTGACAAGTCAATTTTTGTAATATAGTGCATCTTTTAAATAATAACATAGTAAACCTCCTCTCAACCGTTTAGATAATTACAAAGATCAGAGTCTGTTAATATGTTTGGTAAAATATTTTATTCTACATAGATTGAGAATAGGGCAGCCTGGAATCTATCTTTTGTATCTTCAATTTTTTTAGGTGATGATGAACAGAGATGTTACAAATCTGGTCTAAAGGTCTAAAATTTAATTCAACTATTCACTCCGTTCACACTAATGCAAACACGCATTTCAACAAAACAAATAATCACAGAACAAGTGACTCGGAAACCATTCTTAAATTCGGCGGCACGCCTACACGCTCTCTGCAAGGAGCAAAGGCATGACAAGTTTCTATTACGTGGGACACATCGAGCAACCTTTTTCTGCAACAGGAGCACCTGCGCGGGTTTTGGCCCAAGAGTCAGGTGCTCGTGTGACAACCGCGTATGACCTATTCTCAATCGGGTAAGGAAGATTCCTAGTCTACGGCTCACGATCTCGGTCTGCAGGTCGTGCCCTTGACATGCAAGACCGTCTCGGATAACCCCCACCTATTATTATTAATCATAACTTTTTAAGCATAGTTGTCGAGGATTAGGAACAGACATGAATATAAGATAAAGAAATTGAAATTGAACTTTTTTCCTGGTATTACTCGTGAAATTAAATTAAAAAAGACCAATCTAAGTTTTGAAATTGTTACTATTCTTTATAAAATATTGGAATAGGAGCAAATTAGCTTAAAATATTTTTCTCTCCCTTTTAATGACATAAATTTAAAACCCTTGGCAAAGACGGAACAAGAAAAATTAACTTTTCTAACAGTTGTAATACATTTTTAATTAATTATACTTTATTAACTTAAGCTATCGTGACAAACGTGGTTAGAGCAGCTACGTATTGAGCCGAAGGACGTCGGTTCGAATCCCGCTCCTGACACTAGCTTTTTCATCTCAACCAAGACAATAAATATAAAGTATAATTAATTAAAATAATTAATATGATTAATTATGATTACTAAATACATTTATAGTACATAAAAATCCAAAGTAATTATGAAATTTTATGTGAAACACATCGGCCAGAAAAGCAAATTGCACCCGAAACAACTTTTTTTATTGCAATGAAAATTCGTATTTAATGGTTTTAGAGCTTAAAAGAAATACGAATTTTTTCCACAATGTTTTTAGCCTACTTTATTGGAAGAGTATTTTTGTTTTTGAAAGTTTTTATATATCTGATTTCATTTAATGCGATTTTATATATTATATTATCGTACGACCCAACACAATGAATCGTTAAATATATGCAAAACTTTTTCCTAGCGACCAATTTTGAATGGAACGTTCTAGAAACGGATGTCCAAAGTGATCACCTCCCCATTAAAATAGAATCTCATATACGTAAAATGGATTTTGAATTTTGTCCTAAATGGAATACCCGCATGGCAGATTGGAATAAATATGCTCAAATTGCCCACCTTCCTAACCTATGTAACAACGTCGACATAGATGTTGCTACGTTTACTGAAAAAATTAAAGCTGCCGCCTCTNTTTAAAAAGAAAAATTAAAGCTTGGATGGCAATAGGATAAATAAGATTACGAGTGAATGTTTGGAGTCAGAGCTTTATAGCACTCAGAAGAGATATAGCTAACCTAAGATAGAAGGTTTGGGATGTTAGGGCGTGAAATGACCTTAGCCGTTAAAACGCCCTTAAAAATTAATAATAATAATAATAATAATAATATGCAAAACTTTTTTTTTTTTTTATAAATATGTAAATTACTTTTAATTTTACTCGATGTTTAGGGTTTTAACTCTTAGGCACATATCTAATATTTTTAATTCTATATCACTAAAAAACGTTTCGTTGAAATCGGTGGTAGGTCCGTAGCTTCTCCTTGTTAGTCTATTTTAGTTCATTTGTTGTAAGATTGATCTTTTGTATGAGCTTTTAAGGTAATGAGAAGAATCCTATGATGTATGATTGTAATGTAACGGTTTCATTGTGTGAAGGGTCTCGTTTTTCATTTTCATCTTTTCAGTTGTAATCCGCAGACCTTCAAACATTTATCTTTTCGTAATAATCTTATTTGCATTTGCAAATAACTTTGTTTATTAGCATCAATTCTTTTTTGTTGTTACCAAGTGAGCGATAAAAACCGATTTGTCAGTTTTTGAACTTTGATCTTGCTAACAAGGTAATGGGGTTGCTGGAATGTGTTTGTTATTGTTAACAAGATCCAAATTGGTTAAGACAGGACATATTCATATTTCAAGGTTCTATAAAAGGGTCGTTGAACTGCGAATGCAGAGTTCGATTTCCTGTCGTCGTTTAAAATTTACTAACAATAAAAATTCAATTATCAACCAGTGGACAAGTGGAAGGCTTGACGGTAATTTAAAATAGGAAGGGAGGAGTTGGAAAATTGTCATGATAAAATTGAAGCGTCCTCAAATTTTTCCCCCATGAATAAGGATGAGTTTTGTCACATTTGAATAATACAATTGAGGGTTTACCATTCGAAACGGGAGGGAAAGCGTCCCGATATCAAAACCTAATTTCAAACGAGCCGAATTAATGCATAAATCCTTTAAAACGTCGGGTTTAACAACGAACAAAGGCAATTTTGTTTGATTTCATTTGCAATTTTTTTTAGCCGAGTAAAGTTACTGCCGTCTCATTGAATTGACTTCGGTGGAAAGCAGTGTATTGACCTCAATTGTTTACACGAGAGTGTCTAGGCTAACGTTATATCACCTGACTGCAGTTAATGGAAAATAATGAATTCATTACCCAACGATCGATAAATAAATAATGAACGGTAAAGGTGTTTTAATTTTCATTTTACTCCAAGCTTCATACAAAACAACCTATTCTCGTTCATACCCATTGAAAAACCTCCAATATAAAATTGAAAGAAATCGTTTGTTCATTATGTTTATTTTTGTGAATCGCACCTCTTTTACAGCTGCTGTCGACTGGCGGCGAGGAGAGGTGGAGCCTGAGGTAGGAAGATATCCTCGCGTGGATCGTGCTGAGGACAAGGACCGGGAAGGCGAACTGTGCAACGGAAATGGCGAGAGTGTAGCCTGCCTGGGCCGCCCGGGAAGGCCACCTCTCCAGGCAGGCTTCGTAGACGACGAGACCTCCCAGGCGGACGGTCTCAACTTCTTGGTAGATGAGTAGAGGCACCATCGACAGGAAGGAGAGGCTCCAGATGAGGACGATGGTCGAGGCAACGCTGCAACGCGCCGTCCTGCACACCCCACCGCGCGGAGTCTGCACTATCGTGAAATATCTGCAATCAAAACAAACCCAAGGATGATTATTGAAAAAGATAATTGGAAGCATCAGAATCAGAAGAAGAAGACTGCTTCGCTCTTTAAACAATACGTCATGGTCACGATCGTCGTCTGCGGGAGGATCAGGCGAAATTAAAAAGAAATGGAAAGTTAGAATTCACCGATTAAGAAAGCTTCATGGTGATCGAAGACCTTTTAAAATTCCTTCAAAACGGGTATCTGTATAAAACATTATCCATCTGCATAAAAGATGGAGCACCTCTCCCTGGTAGTATTGGAGGGCTTAGCTTCGGAAGAATTCCCTGGGTGAATTACCACCTGTCCATCCTGCTTCCATGTTTGAAACTAGCTTCAGATTTGGGTAATATCCCTGAAGACGGCAAAACGTGTAATACTGGCTGATTTTTCCTCAATCCAGTCATCTTTTCGATTCCAACATATCTTCTGCACACAGCCACCGTACCGAAAGTGTCTTCTTGGGCAACTGGTCATCCTATTGCCCAAACCTCTCGGGGAGCTTCACTAAAAAATATACTTTCTCCTTACTGTCTTCCTAGGCTAAATCTTCGGGAGGTCGTCAGTCATGTTTGATAGTCTGCTAATATAATTAGGATGTATACGCAGAGGGAAGGAAACGAGATGCTACTTTGCTTTCTAACTCAATCTATATATAAATATTAAGAAAGCTGAGGAATATCGTAGAAGGCATAAAAAGTGCCTTGCAAGACCTTTCTCACAACTTGGTAGTCTAGAAATCCACTGACTTGAGCAGCCACTATCGCTTATTTTTTCCCCGAGCATAATTGAACGAGTTTTGCTAACGAAGCTCCTGAAGGTGTTTAATAAATTAGTGTCTTGAGGTTCGACCAAAGTATGCAGATAGTAAACCGAAATAATTTTGTTGAGAGCTCTGCTGACACCGCAGATTTTTCTTACCATGGGTACTTGGTCAGAAAAGTTAAACGTGTAGCTTGGTCGTTTACCATTTTGTCCTACTTATCGCGGTCAGTAGCGTTTTAGCTTTTCGCCATCTTCACTAGTAAGTTAGAGTGTTATTTTAACGCGTCTCGTAAATAAACATAGTGAGGATGAGTAAACCGTCATCAAATTGCTAATGTTCACACTCTGCAAACCCCCTATCGCTGTTAGACACATATCGACTTTTCACCGAGGGGTTTTTGTGTCTCGTCGGACAGAACAAAACAGCGAGGATAGTTACACTATATTCAGACGGTCAAACTTCCTCATTCTGTAAATACCAAAAAGAAAACTCACATGGCTAAATGTGAAAAATGTAGAAGCCTTTCAGTTTTAAGAGATTCTATCTACTTCAGATTGTTCCCGATTTCATCCCGCAAACATAGAAGATTTGCAAGGAAAATGATATTTTTTTTTTTTTTTTTTTTTTTTTTTTTTTTTTTTTTTTTTTTTTTTTTTTTTTGATGTGGCGAGGATAATGTGCTCAGCAACCTTTTTTCTTTTCTATTCTTTTTATTTGTCCGCAATGTATTTCGCCCAAAGCCATGGCGAAGAGGGGAGCCGGGAAAATCGCCCCGAAATGCATTGCGGACAAATAAAAAGAATAGAAAAGAAAATAGGTTGTTGAGTTCATTATCCTAGCCACTTGCAGGAAATAAAATGGACAATAACATTTTAGACTATTGTCTTAATCTATTTTTGAAATAGTAAAGTGGTTATAAAACACAATGTATTTTTGTTCAGCTAATCTGCAGTCCTTGTTTGGAAAATTTAATGTGACCTGTCCCTCTTAACTTGAAAAGAGAGAAAAATGGCTGGATGGTTAACGTAGTAAATGTAAAAAAATCTCTGCAGAGCACAGATGAATGTTTGTCACATTTCAACTCAGACATTTACAAGTCATTTGTACTATTGTAATAATAAATGAGGTTTATTTAACAAAAAAATTTATAATAGAGGAAATCTCCTTTAATCCTGAGGTGGAAAGAGCCACACAATCCACTATAAAAATAAATATTTGCGTTACAACTTGCAAACAACTAACCGAATTAATATTATTATATTCCAAAATAATTTCTGAGAATTCTCTATTTGAGCAGACCGATATCAACCAACGTTAACATACCAGGAATTTTCTTGTTTTCAACCAATTCAATTCAATTGAATTAAATTCTGCAATGAGCATCTGCCTGTATTTCCACGTTTTCCGAGCGAATCCTATCAAATTTTCAAATACATTACGATTAATTCTTAAATCGAAAGTTTTTTTCACTCCAACACTATTTTTTAAATAGATGATTAAAACATGGCATCTTCTGCCTCGTCAGACACATTAAGCATATCCTACTTGACTACGTTGGTCGTTCAAATAAAACAGGCACTCATCTCAGTAGTTAGACTTGTTTCAATGTATAAATAAATACATTCGAACCTTTTTTTTTTACAGTGATGAGCGCCGTGTCAGACATAACTTAATTAATTTTTGCTGCATGTGATGTTAATGTAATAAATATTTACTACTTTACTTTATCTATTTTTTAATAGTTGTTTCTTTATATATACCAAAAAATTTAATTTAAGAAAATGAAAATGTTATGAAACAACAGACTATTATGGCAAAATGCAGAAAAGCTTCTGATCAAAAACAGCGAGGATAGGCGGACCAGGATGATCATAATCAGTTTCACGCTTCACGCTGCCATAGATGAAAATCAATTATTCATTAAAATCATTTTTAGTTTTAAAGGCTCTGGCTTAATTACTTAACTGAATTAATAGAAAAGTTAATAAAGACTTACCATCAGTATTTTTGTTTCAGGTCTTTTTTTGTTGGAAAATTCATAGCTATATATTAATTCAGCGGGTATAAATTATCATTTTGAGCTAATGTCCTCGCGTCCAAACTAAACATACTTTTAAGAAAAGGGTTTTCACATTTTTAATACCGCCTGTAAATTTTGTCAAGCAAATGAACTAGTTTATCATCTCTGCTTATATTAAGAAAGGACGTTTTTCAGGTTAAGAAGGAAAAACAAAGACGAGAGGGAGAGTGTTTCAGGCCCATCTAACCTAGGATAATAATAATTATACATTTTCTAGTTTTGAACGCAGTCATCATCGACGAAAGTAATTAATTTTAATTTTAATTAGTTATTGTATCGAAAGGATGATTTGTTTCTTATAATTTCAGCCCCGACGCTGTGAAGTAATTAAAAACCCTCCGAAACACGGACAACTCTTGTTTCAGAATTTAATAATAAAAGTAAATAATAATATCAGGAAGAAACTGTATTCGTCAAAGCGGAAAGGTAAAGAGATAAAAGCGGTACGTGGTCTGCCAAAGGTCACACCACGATATCGATCCGATCGGCTTCTACCGTTTTTCATAATTTTCTTCCTGTGGTGATTCACATTTAGGACAGATCGGCAAACTCTGTGCCCCCACAGCTGGAGTCTCCAGTTTGAGAGCTAATCAATGACAGCTTTATCATCGTAAGCCACGACTTACCATATAAATAACACAACTTTGAAGTTTTCATGGTCAATCGCATCGTGTGTTTGCAAACAATGCCCACTGGCATAGGGAAAAAGTATCATTTTGAAAACGAGTATCCCATCAGGGCAGGTATTATGAAGTCAATTGAGTTAAACGGCCTTAGACTTTCAAAGGCCTTTGATTATTATTATTACTATTAATAACTTAGTTTATAAATTATGCAAGAACAGGATAAAATGGTAATTCATGCATTGGATGGAGCAAATTAAGGCAATTAATATTTGTTGAAGTCACAGTGTCTTTAGGATTGCACAGTTCGGATTGATTGCAAGATTGATGTGTATACATAATGAAATGACCACAAAATTGCTTTACATTTATTAATAAAAATAAAAGTCAACGTACAACTTACATAAAACTTCGGATATCTGTTTGCTTCCACTGTTGAGTAAATATTTACAATGAACAGACGGAAATGAAGGCGATAATTGAATCATATCTCTTTTAACTCGACGATATAAAATATTCTGTCATTTTTAAATAAGTTCTCTACCAACTTCCGTTAATGCAAACTTATAACAATTTTAATCATCCTTGCTAGTTTGTGATGTCAGACGTCTTACTCATTTTTTTGCAAACTGATGTTTTATCATCATGCTTACTTTACATTAAAATCACAGTTCTACCATTAAAAATAATGTCAATCCGCCTAAAAATAATTCTGTGTGCAAGTTTACAGAGAGTATAAGCACTAAAAACGATATTTTTGATAATAATTACATTATACATACAAACGAGTGAATTAGCAGACAAAAACTTTAAATAATATTACTTAAAAATAATAGAATTGTCCAGACTAATTGTTGTATTAAAAGTTCAGGCCAACGATAACCTTTTTTTTCATAATTTTTCGGATTGATAATCCTTACGAATTTCGAACATGGTGCATGCAAGTTGCAATTTAAAAATTATTGGTATAATAAAAGAAATACATAATTTAAAATCACTCATTTATAACCTGCTTTTTCACACTTTTTTCAAATTCTAAACGGACCCTTACAAATTTCGACCCGAACAAACCGTATTAAGCCAGTTACAGTGTAACACAAAAATATCATTGTAAATATGTTAAACATTTTGGGGAAAATAAAAAATGCGATACTGATTAAAAATAGTTTGGTTGTTTTGAACCTTGTCCGCTATTTAAAAAAATATCTGTCTATTTCTTAAAAAAAAAACATTCATAACCTGGTTCTTTTGCACTTTTTTTATTAACAATAAAAGAAATGCATAATTTAAAATGACCTGTTTTTTCATACTTTTATTCAAATTCAAAACGGAACCCTTACAAATTTCGATCCGAACTATGTTATGCAAACTGCAGTGAAACCACAAAAAATACATTTGCAAATGAGGTAAAAATTATGGGGATAGTAAGAAAATCCATTACTAATCAAAAATAGTTTGATAGTTTTTAGGCCCATCATGTTTATACCATATATTTAATTCTTTAAGCCGGTC